TAATAATAATAATAACTATTATTATTATTATTATTATATCATTTTTATAATTTTTACTTAATTTTTACTTTATTTTTACTTTATTACTATTCGCACCTTATGTCGAAGCAAATTCCTAGTTTGTGAACCCCGTTCATTGACATGGCAATAATAAACTGATTCTGATTCTGATATTAAGAAGAACAACAACAAGAACAGGAAGAACAAGAACATGTTTTTTTTTTTTTTTTTACAAAACTGTATTAACACAATAAATTAACACAACAATGTTAAAAAAAATGTGATCAGGACAAGCTTAAAATAAAATATTTACATGAGGAGCTTGTTGTATCATAGTTCTCCCTGATCAGAAAGGTGCATAAAACCTTCTTCACAGTTTCACAAAATTCTCAAAGTGTCCAGTGTCTCTGTGGAAGCAAAACTCCAACGCCAGTCTGGCCTTGACGTTGCACTTCCGCAGAGCCACGGCATCAAGTTGGGGTGCAGTCCGACTCTGTGAGACAGGTAAATAGACATTTTTGCTTCGGCCACTAAAAAGTTTAAAGTTTGGGAATTAAACGTAGTGGCTTTGCTGTAATGTACTCCATTAATAAAAACAGATTTGGTGAAAACTGTGTCAAAAAGGCTAAAGGTCCTCGTCACAAGATTAAACACAGCTGTCAGTCGTACACAATCTGTAAAAACATGAAAAACGCTCTCAGACAAACTGTAAAAAGGACACTCGTTTAAAACCTCAGGACTGATGACCGATAAAAAAAGAGTTTGTTGCAATTGCGCCGTGAAGGATCCTCCATTCAAGCTCGCCAGTCTGTTTTTTGCAGGAGGTTTGCAAAGTGTCCTCCACTGGGGCTTCTGACCTCTAAGCTTGTCGTCCCACATGCTGATGGCTCTGTTGTGCAGAGTTCTCTTGTTCAGGATCTTAAAATAAGTCTTGTACTTTTGGACCCGTTCTGCACAAGTCCAACTTTGGGTCTGTGTTGCGTAGCAAAGGACCACTGTCTTTTGCAAAGTTAGGATCCAGGTGGACGTCCTGGAAAGGGTACATTGGGTCAGGCGGGCGATTCGCCGTGGACCACAGCTGCAGAGACACTTCTCTCCAGCTGCAATCCTCTCCATCAAGTCCAGGAAGTGCTGCACCACTCTGGCAGACCAGACCCCAAGCAACAAAACCACCTCTCGGACGTTGGAGAAGTCTGGTCCAGCCGTCTCCACCGACCGATTCAGAACAAAAACAAGAAGAGGATGAGGACGAGTGTATTTTTGTCTTATTTTAGTGGACCTCCGATAAACAAATTCTTCCAGATAGTTGGTATATATATTTTTGTAATATTCCAACTTGACTACCAAAATAAATGATAATAATAAAGCGCTGTGTTGTCATAGTTGTATGTTCCCATACAAAGACGAAACTGGCTTTCTGTATTTAACCCGTCGCACCTGAGATACACCCAGGTGGAGCAATATTATGACCAACATTTTTAGTCGCTTGTCTGAAAATACAAAACTCTGTCCATCATTATGTAAAGTAGCTGACATTAATGCACAGGAAATTATGATTGACTCGTTTGATTTTCCACTGAAAACACGTTTTGTTTACCATCCAAACTTAAACAAAAGTTTCTTTTTACACACTTGGTTTTAGAAAACGTAAAAGAAAAAAGAAAAACTCCCCATTGTCCTGACACGTAACTAAAGTCAGAAAGAGGGAGATCATTCTCTCTGGGAGTTTGTCTATTCGGGCATCTGATGGTAAATGAGATTTGTGCTCCTTGCCTGGAAGGAATTCTGCATATAAGAACGTATTTAAAGAAAGCTTAGGGGATTACAGAAATGCCTTTTCATGTAAGATCTACACTTGGTAAGAGGGGATGAAGCAGCATTTGGTTAAATTGGCATTTGAACTTGTATCTTTCCCTTGCCAGTTCGGTTCTTGTATCTGTGCCTGTGGGTGCTCCTGTGAACGCACTTAAAGAGGATGTTAATGAACTGCTGTCACATGTAGGCTGGTCCCTTTGAGGCAGCAGTCAGGATTCTCTCCACGTACTCGTGTGTTTGCAGTGTAGAGGCTGTGATGTGCTGCCTTACTGCAGAGAGACGCTTGCGGCCAGACAGGAGGGGACCGACTCAGTACAGGGGGTCCCCGCTGCGGTGCCGCTCTCTCACCAGCAAAGTAAAGGCTCAACTCTGCATGGAAGTGTGTCGATCTATGTTTCTTAATCTGTATGCCAGTTTAACTAAAAAATATGACTGCTTGTGTGTATTTGCATTTCTCAGCAGGAAATGTAACATGCTAGAGTAGGCTCTGAAAGCAGCCTTGTGGGCAATAAATTGTCAAATTAGCAACACAATGAAGATAGATAGCAAAAGGAAAACCTTGATATAAAAGTGTTTATGATTGTGTAGGGGTGTTTATGGGGAAGACGGCACGGAGAATGCTCTTCCCTGCAACCTGCCACGATTGCACCCTGGGTAAGTGTCACATTGATTTGAGCACTCGCTGTCTCACCTGTCACCCATTGTCCCGAGGCTCTCTACCGGTTGCGACATCAAATACCGAGGCCCAACCTCTACTACATTGCAATCACACAACCAAAATTGGCCATTTTCTCCATCAGGACATTCATGTCATTCACAACGTATTTAACTTTACCCCCCAAAACAGTGACATTTTCCATGTATGATTTATACACAGGTCTTTATCTACATTGTTTAAATGCTAAATGTAAATTTGCAGCTGGGACCAATGCAGGGGCAGATATTCCTCACGTCCGTGTAGTTTCTAACAACATTATCACAGGAGTTCAGCAAATAGGGTACCCCTTGAAGGGGGAATTTGGGGACTCTTTTGTAAGTATGACATCTGGCTCCACCAAACATCTGAGTAAGCAGATTGGCCCTGCAGGCCTGGTGTGACAGCCGATGAGGAAGCTGGGAGATGTGGGAGAGCTGATCTGAACGGCTCCTCTGCTCAAGCTGTCACTTTAGCTCGGCTTGGCACAGTTTGATTCTCTCTGGCTCTGAAGCATTAGGCCCACTCCTCTGACTGCTACTGCCCTGCCGGCACCAAGCCAAGTCTTTCATGGGGGAGGTCGCTTATCACTTTCACTCTCTTTCTTCCTTTCCTTCTCCTGCTTATTCTGTCTCTGCAGGGCTTCAGCTTTTCTATTGCAATATTTCTATTTTGCCCCTTCTCTTGCCAGTTTCTTATCCTATCCCCAACAGAAGCCACAGAATTGGATCCATTATAAGCTGTCATTATTTGCTAGTTCTAGCTCCTGTGCAGTAATCTAACCTACTCATTTGCTCTCTTCTCGCCATCTCTGTTGTTCTCCAAGTAGGTGCTCAGTCAATTAGTAATCATTTCACCCACAAAGATTCAGCTCGACATTTTGAACTTCATGTATGACAGCGCATCATCTCCTCCTGGGTTGTACAAGGCTGAATGTGTTTGAGTGAGATAACGCTACGTGCAAATGAAAACAAAACAAAAAGAAAAGTAACACTAGCACTCCTATTTGCCCCACATGTCATCTATCTGGAAGCCATAAATTGATAAGGAAATATAATCTATCCACGCTCCAAAAGTATATGAGCTAATTATATGAACTTATCTATCAAAAGTTATTAGTTAAAGTGTATTAAATTTTAATTGGGGTACCCAAGAGCCAGAAGATCAATTATAGAACTGAATATTTGGCACAGAGCAGCATTGTAAAGATAAAATAATATGGATATTCAGGATGGATGGCTGGCAGTACAGACAAATTAGGCATTAAGGTCCAGTGTTAACTAAAGCATGAAGCAAGGAGTGACTCCATTAAATCATTTTGTGAAGCTAATTCTTCATTTTATTCATGTACTGGATGACAGAAATACCTGAGTCAAGCAATTACACATTGAGAAAAGAGCCAACCATTTTCTTGTCTGATATGCAAAAGGTGTTCCATGATCCACAGAAAGTAAGTATATGCTGTGCTACTTATAGTTTTGTGTAGTTCTCTATTCTCAAGGAGAAGGCATCTGGGCTTCAGAACTCAGGAAGCCTTTTGATCGAGAAGTGAAATATCGACAGGTCTAAAATGAAGTTAGGTTTATTTTTACAATTATTACCTTTCCAGTAATTTGTCAATCCTAAAAAAGTGAACTGGCATGTGCATGAATACATAAATGACTGCATATTCTGAAATGCTCGTGAGGGTCATGTATATGTATTCCCGATTTATCAAAGTTCATGCTCAATAATCCAGGTAAAAATCCAACAATGTTCAGTCAGGTCATCTGGATGGTTTCTTTTTTTTGCTGAGACGTTTTATCCTTAATCCAAAGGACTTCATCAATCCGAGGAGCCACAAAGTACGAGTCCAAACCGAGTCCCACAGCTTGTTTGCTCCTCGGTTTGATGAAATCCTTTGGATGAAGGAAATGTCTCAGCAGAATAAAAACTGTCCATATTCCAGATTTAAAATGAGCAAAGTATGCACTTGCTGTAAAAAAAAAAAAAATTATAAAAATAAAAGCAATATTATTCATCCTGCTATGAAGGATCCTTCATAATACTTGGACAAAACTGAAAATTTAGGATGACTATCTACGGCAATTAGACCTTTAGCTATCTAGGTACCAGCCCAAAAAAAATGTTTGTGCTGTTATACCAAATCTTTTAGGTGAAATTAAATAGCTGAAATTCCAATGAGGTAAAATTTGCTGAAGATTTGTAGCAGACTTAACATCCAGCTCTGCTAAAAACAAATAAGGCAATGTAATAATAAAAATAAAAAGCAGCAGTGTGTCCCAGCTGACAGTACTGCCATTCAGTACATTAAATACGGGGGTGTGCTTATGCTAAGCAGATCCAAGATGCAGTTTATTATGAGATAAACAGTAAAAACTGCACTGAAAACTAAATCTGTAGGCGCCAACAAACGTTTAGAATGTGACAAATATTGCAATATGCTATACATTTCAATTAAAGGTTTATCTATACCTGAACTACTACTCACTTGTCTGGTCTGCCAGGCACCTGTAGGCGTAAGCGACATTTGTTCGCACACTGGATCTGTTCTTCTTTGATGCGGATAAGCCTCTGCAGAGCCAGACACCAGTCCTGTGCAACGGTGGTGTTCAGGTTCTTTGATTTAAACAAAAGAAAAGACAAGAGGAAGTTACAATCTGCTGCACGGGCCCATACATCAGACCACACCATCTGCAGACACAGCACACGCACACCTTTCGAAAAAACCCTGCATCATTTGAATCTATGTCTTTCAAACGCCAAACTGCACAATCCTGTCCATTACCTCAAACATAACGCTGAATTTATTCCCACACTTCATTCCATTTTACAGTAAAACCTAGAGCCTCAAGTCACATAGACTCAAATCAATTTTCTGTAGCAAATGAGCTTTGTAGAAGTATTTTGGCTATTTTTTTTTAAGCAGACAGCTTTATAACAGGGTGGAACGTGAATATTAGCCATTAAGTGCCAGGCCAGTATCACTTCTCCTGAGGACACGGTGCTCATTAAGCGCATGGAGGCAAAAGTGCACCCATTAAAGAGACTCTAGTAATTTGCTGAAGTACACCTCCCTTGGTGTGTTATTGTATGTAGTTTGTAGCGTACAGTGGTGTAAATGTGATACTGGCAGACTATAGGGAAGCATCCTGACTCAAACACCGCACAAACGGCGCCGACAGTTTTCTTCGGCAACAAAACAAATCTCACCGTCTGTCTTTTATATCAGTGGGAACATCTCATTCCCACCCTTGTGGCACTGTTGCTGGAGAGATGGATGGAAGGCTTTGTGTTTCTCCAAATGAATAATTCAAAAAGCACATAAGGTGTTTTCTTTGATCACATTTTAAACACCTCAAAGACATCTGTAGTCCCTTTAAAAAGAAAGGCACAGAAGCGGTGTCTCTCAATGATTAACTTTAAACTCATTCTCTTAGCTTTTACTCATTTCAGTGTTTTATTGTCACCTGCCACTGAAGACAAAGGCAGAGTGATGATGTTATAGCCCACGTCTGAGTGTCTGAGTGTGCTCAATTGGCTGTAACAGAATGATCACGTTGACATCTACATCTGATTATTTTGGACCAAATCCAATTCAAGATTGCTACCATGGTCAACTGACCTCAGAGAACACAAAAATGAGATTAACTCTGTTGAGTTTAAAGATACTGGGCTCAAATCTGACATAGTAGTACCTGTGACAAGTTTTTCCCTAACCTACCCTGAGTGGCATCTATTCACCTGTGATAAAAACTCTACCAATAACTATTGGAATTAACTCGGTCTATTAGCCCACGGACAGCCAACTGACCTGAGAAAATTAAAAATAAATTAAAAATGGCTATAACTCAGCCATTTTTAAAGATATCAAGCCAAAGTTTGGTGCAGTAGAAGTTTAGCATTGTTCTCAACACATACTTGGAATACAACACATCGTGTGAAATCTTTGCTTAAAATCTTTGCAATCCATATTCAAGTCAACCCTCTTTGTTGGCTAAGATTCTCATGGACCACTGGACAAATAAAAAAAATGCTAATGTAATAAAGGAACATACATCTACGACCGGTTGGCAATCAAACTCAAGATAATTTATTTTTTTCCATTTAGCCTTTATTTATCCAGGTTAGTCTCATTGAGCCACGAGAACTCATTTTCAAGAGAGACCTGTTTAGGGAGCACATGGAGGGGGTTAAGGGCCTTGCTCATGGGCCCAGAGTGGGGCGAATGAGGGTGGGGGCAAGTGTGGGTGTTTCACCCACCCCACCCACAATTTTGATGTTGTCGGGGTCGGGGCGTGAACCGGCGATCTTTGGATCACAGGCCCACCTCTGCGCCACCACTCACTCAAGATAATAGCGAATCAAACAAAGATAGCTATACAGTAGTCCCTCGTTTATTGTGGGGGTTTCCGTTCTCAGTCCCCCGCGATAAGTGAAAAACTGTGAAATAGGAATAGTAGTGCAAGTAGTAAATAGTAGTTTATTTTAGTGTATATTATGTATATATATGTTTTAAACCCTTCCCACACTTTTGCAATATTCTAAACAATGTTTCTAAACTCTAAACGCTCAAAAAGAGCACAGCATGTCATGATCTCCGCTCTCTGCCACCTGCCAGCACTCTCGGCCACGCCCACTTCTCCGCTGCAGAATGGAGATCGACACATTGCAGGAGGGAGCTCCTCTCTGCACATGTGGGCTGCACGCAGGTGCTAAACAAATTAAAATAATGTGTTTTTAATTTAAAAATCCATGGCGATCTTGCGGCTCATCCATCAATCAGCCAATTCTGTGTCATCTCCACTCTTACGCTGAAAAACTGCAAAAGAGCGAGTCCGCAAAAGTCGAACCGCGAAGTAGCGAGGGTCTACTGTACAACAATTTTACAGAATCTGAGCTAAAGTTCGGTGTGAGTGTCGCTGATAGTCATTCACAACACACACTCTGAAGTACTAACAGATCCTGTGAGATACAACAAGTGAGACAGTGAGATTTTTTTAGGTTTAACCAAAATGATTACAACTTTGTCATTTCTCAACAAAAGATGATCTTAGTCCAAAACTCTGGCGTGAAAGGTGACATTCATTTCACTGCTTTACTTTAATGATGTCAGTGCTACTTCTGCAACTCTTCAAGGTGTTCCAAATCTTACACAGTATTGTAAAGTAAGCTTCAGAGTGCACTCCGTATTTCAAACATCTCAAGATAACTTGATTATAAATAATGTATAAAACAGAAAGCACTCCTGGCAGAGAAAAAAACACAACTTGAATGTCAGCCACTGTTTCAACAGTCACTTATAACCTTCAAACAAAACGCTGAACAATCGTCTGGGTGATGTATGTGAACATTCACTAGTTTCACTGATTAGGTGTTAACACTTTTAAAATGCTTTTTTTGGGGGGTTTATTTTTCATTTTGCATGTTCTAAAAGGCAAACAAAGTGTTCTGTACCTGATATGTCCCTTGCAGCGTGCCCACGAGCAGCGTAACCTCTTCGACAATCGAAAGGTCGTGTTGCAGCTCTTGTAGCTGCTGGTAGAGCCGTGGAGGACCCAGAAGAGCTTTGCCTAGGAAGTGGGCAACATGCGAAGCGTAAGAGGTTCTGAGATTGCCAACATATTGCATTTGTTGTAACAAACCGAGAACCGTCTACACAACGTGCACAAATAAAAAGAATATTGTTGACGCATTATTTACCCTCTAATTTCATTGATTCATATGCAAACACACAACTGCTGTTGTGCTGATGAATATGGAGAGTTTTCTGATTTCCTGTTTTTATTTAATCTACCCCAGACTTATTCTTTGCACCATTTTATTTTCACTCAACCAAATAAATAGTCTGGGAAGTGCTTGGCTTCCCAGTCTCCAGTTTGTCTATTATTATTTTTTGTTTCTGCAATCGAGAAACCTTCCCCCGTTCGCTGTTTTGAATCCCTCGCCCACTGACCAACTTCAGCCTTAATATTGTATCAGGTAGAGCACCAAACTACAAAACCCAAAGGTACACGTTGTACAGAAGAAACAACACAGACTAACAAAAGGGCAGGATCTGTTGTTCTTTGAAAGAGGAAGGAGCACTGTCTGGTCCACCAGTCCACTTCCTGCGTTGAACCTTGTTACACTTTACAATAAGTTCACAAAATTTGATCAACTACTAGGGAAGGCCTCAGGAACAAATCAGGAGCTAATGGGTAGATAACCAGTACTTACTTGGGAGCACACAGCCAAGCCTTATTAGGAGACTACTGGTTTGTTACCACATGAACAAACAGGTAGGTAATGGTCAGGTAGTGGTTAAGTAATGATTGGTTCCTCAGTAAGTACTTGGCATGATGCTTCACTACATCAGTGAACAACATAATAGCCAGGCAATGATTTGGTACTCAGAAAGTGATAGACATCGTTAAGATGACACCAGTACAAGATTATGGAATTGATAACATCCTTCATCAATATGTTTACAAAAGAGAAAATCCAATAAAATCAGTAATCACTAGGAAACAGGTTATTGACAATTGTGAGCTGTGACCTCACTGGTGCAGGGTTTGTTCAGAACCCACATGGAGAATTTTTCCCCTGTTTCTGTGGTAACAAACCAGTAGTCCCATACTAAGGCTTGGCTGTTAGTTCCCCAGTAAGTACTGGTTAACTACCTATTAGCTCCCGATTTGTTCCTCTTTGCCTTCCTTGGTAACTACATTAGTTCTTGATTAGTTCATCTTCATTTACAAGGTAACAAACCAGTAGTCCCCTAATATGGCTTGGCTTTGTGTTCCCCAGTAAGTACTGGTTAACTACCTATTAGCTCCTGATTCATTCCTGAGGCATTCCAAAGTAGTTAAACCAATTTTGCGCACCTTATTATAAAGTGTTACGAACTTAAGACCTGGAGTTTTGCTTTCTCTGTCTATGTGTGTGTGTGTGTGACGTGCATTTGATGAATTTAATTGTTATTAAACATGAGAAACCAAACAACAATCACTAATTAGAGTGAATTAAGCTCATATTTACCAGGAAAAACAAATGTTAATATAAAAAAGTTACATTTTAAATACGTTGGTGTCCTTTTTTTGTGTGTTTTTAATA